TTTATTGTAGAGATGAGGTCTCGCTGCCCAGGCAGGTCTCGAACCCACGGGCTCAGGCAATCCACTCACCTCAGCCTCCCAAAGGCGCGGGATTACAGACTGAGCCACCAAGCCCGGCATTTTGATGTTATTTTAAAAGAGGCATCCAAATTTTGATTGGCTAATAAATTAATATGATTCAGAAATTTAGAAGGAGGCTGGTGCGTTGGCACACACCTGCAATCCCAGTACTTGGGAGGCTAAGGAAGGAGGATTGCTTGAGCCCAGGAGTTCAAGACCATTCTGGGCAATATAGCAAGAACTCGTCTCTACAAAAAATTAGCTGGGCATGGTGGTTCATGCCTGTAGTCCCAGCTACTCGGAAGGCTGAGATGAGAGGATCACCTGAACCCAAGAGATCGAGGCTGCAATGAGCCATGGTCACACCACTGCACTCCAGCCTTTGAGACTCCAACTAAAAAAATAATAAATTTAGAAGAATTAAAAAGACACACCAGGAAACTTGTTCCTCATATTCTGACTCTATCCTTCCTACTCGGCTATTAATTTTTTGGTTATTCTTTGGTTATTATTATTTTTAAACATATGTACAAGAAGATCCAAATATATGCCCTCTGAGGTTTTGTTGCTGTTTTTACACAAATGACAACACAGACCCACCATGTTGCTTTTTTCACTTAACGTTATCCCTGGCGGATTTCTCCACGTCACGTGTGTAGACTTGCCCGGTCCTTTGTGGAGCTGCGTGGGATTCCGTGGGATGGAGGCGCCATCATTTATTCACCTTGTCCCGCAGTGATGGACTTTTAGATGACTTCCTGTGTTTTGCTACTTTAAACCCTGTTGCAGTGGATAAGCATGTGCTGATTCACCTATGGTTGAGTTTATCTGCAAGATAAAATCCTAGAAGTGGAGTTGCTGGGTGAAAGCATTTGTAATTTAATAAATATTGCCCAAATGTCCTCTCTGGGGATCATACCAATTTACACTACTGTCATCAGTGATTGTTTTTCTCACAGCCATGCCAACACAGTGTGTTATTCAACTTTTGTAATTTTTTTTTTTTGACAGTCTGGTAAGGGGAAAATTGCATCTCAGTGTAGTTTTTTATTGTTCAATTGCTTATTTCTTTGTAAGACTTGGCATTTCCCCTGACATTTCCTTTTTTTAAAGGTACAGTTGGCCAAGTGTGTGGTGGCTCATGCCTATAATACCAACACTTTTGGAGGCTGAGGTGGGAGGATTGCTTGAGATCAGGAGTTTGAGATCAGCCTGGCAACATAGTAAGACCTCATCTCTACTAAGATAAAAAATTTAAAAAAATCAGCCAGGCGTGGTGGTGTGGGCCTGTAGTCCCAGCTACTTGGGAGGCTGAGGAAGATGGATCCCTTCAGCCTAGGAGGCTGAGACAGTGATGAGCCGTGATCAAGTCACTGCACTCCTGCCTGGGCGACACAGTGAGACTCTAACTAAAAAAAAAAAAAAAAGGTACAGTCTACATAAAATACAATGCATCCACTAAAAATGCATCACCTGATGTGTTTTGACACATGTGAACACCCTGGTAACCACCACCCCCTGCAATCAAATCCAGAACATTCCCAGCCACTCCCAAAGCTCTCTATGTCCTCTCCAGTCAGTGCTCACCACCACTAGCCTCGGGCAACCACTGACCTTCCCCTAACTGTTGAGCACATCTTGTTTTTCTAGATTTTTATAAAAATGGAACCACACAGCATGTACACTCGTGTCTAGACTTTTCCTCTCACTGTAGCGCTTTTGAGAGTCCTACGTGTTATTCTGTATATCTGGTGAGTTCTCTCCATTGCCAAGTAATATTCCATTGCATGGGTAGATGATGATGGATTCATTCATCTGTTGACCGACATTCAAGTCGTTCCAGGTTTTGCTTATTAAATAAAGTTCCTCTGGACATCTGTGTACAAGTCTTTGTATGGACATGTTGTTTTCATTTGGTTAAGTACTTAGGAGTGGAATTGCTGGATCAAGAAACTGCCAAGCTGATTTCCAAAGTGGTCATGCCAACACTTGGTATTGTCAGTCTTTTTAACGTTAGCCACTTTAGTGTGTGTGACTGATAAGCTGGGCCACTTTTTATGTGCTTATTGGGTAAATGTCGTCTTCTAAGAAATGTCTATTTAATGTCTATTTTGCCCGTTTGAACAATGGGCTATTAGTCTTCTTATTATTGAGCTTTAAGTGTTCTTAGTGTGGCTGAGTACAGTGTGTGCCTGTAGTCCCAGCTACTCAGGAGGTCGAGGAGGGAGGATTCCCTTGAGGCCAGGAGTTCAAGGCCAGCCTGGGAAACATAGTGAGACCCTAGTCTCTTAAAAAAAAAAAAAAATTCA